GGGAGGGAGGGGAGAGGGCTTGGAGGACATTGGGAGGGATTGGGATGGCACTGGGAGGGACTGGGATGGCAGTGGGAGGGACTGGGAATAGAGTGGGGTAGAAGGGTCTGGGCTGGGGGGGGCACTGGGGAGAGAGTTGGGAGATGTGGGAGTGAAGTGAGAACGACTGGGAATGGACTGAGAGGGTCTGGGACTGGATAGGGAGGGTCCGGGAGTGGAGTGAGAGGGACTAAGAATGACTGGGATTGACTGGGAGTGACTGGGAGTGACTGGTGTGGCCTGGGAAGGAAGCGCTCGGGCCTGGGAGGCTGAGTGGTGGTGTGGGAAGTGTTTGCTTTGGGTCTGCCTGGCAACTGGAGCGTCATCAGAGACACGCGCTGCCATTGGCTGAGGGGCGGGAGCTCGGGGGCATCGACGCGTGGAGACGCGGGGGGGCACTGGGAGAGACTGGGATGGACTGGGATGGACTCCGAAAAACTGGAATGGACTGGGAGAGATTAGGGGGCACTGGAAGGACTGGGAGAGACTAGGATGGACTGGGATCAACTAGGAGGGTGCAAAAGGCCGTGGAGATGAGCACAGGGAGGTCTGAGGGGTCTGGGGTGATTCCCAGGGAGGGTTTGAGGGGCTCCAGGGTCATTCCCGGGGCAGGGCCCGAGGGGACCCGCTCTGCCCCACGCTCACCTCTCCTCTCCACACTGAACGGGGTGACGATCCTGTAGTTGTGCCGGCAGTACCTGTCCACCTCAGCCTGAGTTGTCTCCAGGATGTCTGGATGGCTGTTCGCATACCTGGCCTGGCTCTCCCCTTCCAGGGTGTCCCCCACATAGACCCCCACATCGCTGTCGAAGTGCAGGTACTGCTCCCGGTTGTAGATGCGCCTGTGCATGTACCTCACCCGCTCGGTGCCATTCATGAAGTAACACTCGAACTTTGCCATGTGCTGGAACACCCCTGTGTGTGCAGGACACGGGTCAGGGGGTGCCCCGTCCCCCCCCATCATCCCCCAGCCCCCCACAGCAGGGTGGGAGCTCAGGGGGCCACCCCGGACCCCCCTTTCCCACCCCCCTCTGCCCCACGGACGCCCCAGCACCGGCTCTTGGCTGGGGGGGAACCCCCCCATCAGCCCCCTGGGGAGGGACAGGGGGATTGGGGACCCCCCCAATGCCGATCCCACCTCCCCAGAGCCCCAGGGAACCGTTCCAGGGCTCAAGGGACACCCAGGGACCCCCATGGCACCCCTCTGCCTGCTCTCCCACACCCCCTTGCCCCCCTCTCCCACCCCTTTCCCACCGGCCCCACAATCCCCAGACCCCCCACCCTCACTTTGGGGCTCCCACCCCCCTCCCACTCACTCCGGGACTTCCGACCCCCATCGCACTCACTTTTGGGGCTCCCACCCCCTCTTTTCTCCACTCTTGCCCCCCCTTGCCCACCCCAACCCCCTGCCCGCCCCCCCCGCTCACCCGACAGCTCCTCGCCCGCAGCCGGGGGGGCTCCCAGCACCACCAGCACCGCCAGCACGGCCCCAGCTCCCCGCACACGCTCCATGCCCAGCGCCGGACAGCTGCTGACACCCCAAAACCAGCCGGGCGGAGACGTTTTGGGGGATTTTGGGAGCGCTCGGATTGGCTGAGAGCGCCAAGTGCGGCTCCGGTTTGGGGCCGTGTTGTGGCCTGTTCTTGCCGGCGACTGATGAGTCATGAGCGCGGCGCGCTGGGATTGGGCGCGGGCGGCGTGGGCGCTTTGGGATTGGCTGAGGGCCGTTGGGGGCCCCCGCGGCAGCCCCGGGGCCTTTGGGGGGTTCGGGGGGG